ACCGTGTGTGGTGATCAGGTGTGGCCGTGGTTTTGTATCTGGTGTGACCGTGTGTGTGATCAGGTGTGGCCGTGTGTGGTGTGATCACGGTGTGGCCGTGTGTGGGTGTGATTCCAGGTCGTGACCGTGTGGGTGTGATCAGGTGTGGCCGTGTGTGGGTGTGGATCAGTGTGACCGTGTGTAGGTTGAATCAGGTGTGACCGTGTGTGAGTGTATCAGGACCTGTGGGTGTGATCAGGTGTGGCCGTGTGTGGGTGATCAGTGTGACGGTTGTTGGGTGTGATTCAGGTCGTGGCCGTGTGTGTGGTGTGATCAGGTGTTGGACCGTGTGTGGGTGTGATCAGGTGTGACCGTGTGTGGGCGTGATCAGGTGTGGCCGTGCTGTGGTGTGATCAGGGTGACTGTGTGTGGTGTGATCGGTGTGACCGTGTTGGCCTGTGATCAGGTGTGGCCGTGTGTTTTGTAATCTGGTGTGACCGTGTGTGGGTGTGATCAGGTGTGACCGTGTGTGGGTGTGATCTGGTGTGACCGTGTTGGGTGTGACAGGTGCGTGTGTGGGTGTGATCAGTGTGAACCGTGTGTGGTGTATCAGGTGTGGCCGTTGGGGTGTGATCAGGTTGTGACGGTTGTGGTGTGATCAGGTGTGACCGTGTGTGGGTGTGATCAGGTGTGACCGTGTGTGGGTGTGATCAGGTGTGACCGTGTGTGGGTGTGATCAGGTGTGGCCGTGTGTGGGTGATCAGGTGGTGACCGTCGTGTGGAGTGTTCAGGGGACCGTGTGTGGGTGTGATCAGGTGTGGCCGTGTGTGGGTGTGATCAGGTGTGACCGTGTGTGAGTGTGATCAGGTGTGACCATGTGTGGGTGTGATCAGGTGTGACCGCGTGTGGGTGTGATCAGGTGTGGCCGTGTGTTTGTAATCTGTGTGGCCGTGTGGGGTGGTCAGGTGTGGCCCGTTTGGTGTGATCAGGTGTGGCCGCTGTTGTGTGTGATCAGTTTGTGACCTGTGTGGTGTGATCAGGTGTGCCGTGGTGGATTTGTGATCAGGTGGTGACCGTGTTGTGGATGTGATCAGGTGTGGCGGTGTGTGGGAGGATTATATTAGGATAGGTGTGACTCGTTGTGGGTGTGATCAGTGGAATTCAGAGATGCAGAGTTCATCGGTGATCGGTGTGCCGTGTGTTTTTAATCTGTGACCTGTGTGGAAGAATGGGGACCCGTGGGGACCACCAGGGCCTGGCTCTCCTCGGACAGGGACACTCCTGGGTCTCCTCTCCGGGGCCTGTTGGCCTGGGAGATGGTCCCAGCACACAGGGAACTACTTGCTCCCTCATTCGTCTGGCCAGCAGGTGCCTCCCACGTGTGGCCCGTGCTGGACGCTGGACTCACGTATTCCTGAGCAAAGTCGATGAGGTTCTGGAGGTCAATGTCGTCCCGGTAGGCCTTGACGTTGTTGTTGATGAAGAGGTTGAGCTGGTCTCGAATCCAGTCCTTGAAGACAAAGGCCAGGATCCCTGCTGCCAGCTCCAGGAAGAAGATGAGGCCAAGGAACACAGAAAACTAGGGTTGGGGCACACAGATGGCGGGAGTTGGAACGGCAGGGTTCTGGCAATCTCCCCGGGCCTGGGGGTGCCACAGGGGAGAGCTCCACCCGCACCTCCACTCCACCAAGACAAGGGAGCCCAGAGTCCCCACCTTCTCTTACTTCGGTATCGTTCTATGGTGGTAAAAGGCAGAACTGTTCTTGCCTACCCATCCTGCCTACCCATCCGCCCCCTTGGTCTGGCAATCATACCCTGCTTTCTTTGCAAACTTTTAGCTCCACCTCTCCCCACTCCCAGACTCCCAGAGGGGGGGGGGTGTGCCACAAGCCCACCAATCAGAGCACTGCCTCCCCCTCCGCCCACAGGGATTGGTCCAGAGACAGCCAATCAGAGCTAAGGGGACACGATTAGCCAGCGAGGACAGAAGGGAGCAGAGCGTGTCTCCAGCAGCATTCCTGGCAGGCAGGGAGGCCAGCCCTGCTCCCGCGCCTCCTGCCAGGCCTTGGGGATGGAATCCACCCAGGGGCACAGAGCTGAGAGGGACCAGGCTGAATGACTCTACGATGGCCCCTAGGTCAAAATGCACCTGTGGCCAGCACAACCCTGGGCTTTTCTTGTGTGAGCCAATAAATACCCTTTTAGGCTTAAGCCACTGGGTTTCAGCCATTTCCTATACCACGGAAAAGATCCTAATAAATATAGACAGCACAAATCTAATAATAATAATCACGGTTGTTACTACACAACAATAAAGGTCCCCATTACTAAGCATATATATATGTGAGATATATATATCTCACAAGAACTAGTCAGTGCTCAGTCGGTGGGTGGAAGGTAGCTGGGGTCCCAGGGGATCTCGGAGGGCAGGGGGCACTCACAAACTTGAGCAGGAAGGTGTTCTCCCGGAGGGCCCCGATGCAGCCGGCGAAGCCCAGCACTGACATGACACCTCCGACTACCACAAACAGCCACACAGGGTCAAGGCCTCCCAGGTCCGTCAGCGCCGAGATGTTGGAGAGAACGCCCTGTCCCGGTGGGGGCAGAGGCAGGTGTGGGGGACCGGCCTTCCCACCACCTGGCCCCACAGCAGCCTCAGGCTGCACCTGCTACCTTACCTTCTCGCCCCAGGCCCAGAGGCCGATGGCCAGGAACAGGGCTCCCAGCACCTGCAAGGGCAGCAGGGAAGAGCTCAGGGCTGGGCGGCAGCACCGGGACCCTCGCTCAGCCCTCCCAGTGCTCGGGCCTTCAGGAAGCCGCAGAGAGTGCAAGAGGCACCAGGGCTGTGAGCAAGATCCAGGGTGCGTTCCACCTTCCCAAGAATACATATCAGTGCTTCCTTCTCCCGGGACACAGCCTGGAGGACTGACCTTCCCCTAGCCTTGGGGTGGACGTCAGGGCCCTTCCTGGGACCCAAAACTAGAACAGACAGTGGCCAAGACACCCCTGCCAAGTGGCGGCAGCATCCTGAGCCTCTGCTCTTGCCCCCACCTGCACTGGGGTCCCAGGGCCCTGGCCTCCTCTCTGCCCTCCCCAAGTCCAGCCATCCTGCTGCCCTGTAGCCCTATGACCGTCACCCTATGCCCCTCAATGCCCCTCTCTGCCCCATTCCACCACTTTGCCCTCCGTCTGCCAGAGTCAGCTTTGTGGCTCACAACCAAGCACCCTGCATGATGAGCACTCCCGGTGCAGAGCAGAGTCCGGCTGAGGGCCCCCACCTGGGCCAGTGGCTTTGCCCTAGACGACATGTGACCACAGCTCTGCCTGGACCTCCTAAACACCAGCTACCACGACTCCCCACCAGGGCAGCCCGAATGCCCCTCCACTGTCCTCATCATTCCCAGCATCCTGCCTCAGTTCCTTACTGGGAAGAGCCCTAGATGTCAAGACGGCCACCCCTCATGCCTGACCCTGGGCAGGTCCCTGTGTGCCCAGTCTCAGGGGTGGAAAGCCCCTCCCACCCAAGCCCAGGGCCATGACCCCCACTCCTCTGGCCACCCCCATCTACCTACTTTCTCTATAGGCTCCGTCCGTCCCCTCGCAGCCAGGCCAAGGCCCTTAAAAAGCCTTCCCTTCCCCGACCCTGGGCTCCTCCCACTGCGATGCTTTCTGGGGAAACAGTCTTCCCCTTCCTCCCACATGCTGGGTCTGCTGATGTGAAACCAAACATCACTTCTCCTGCCTCATGCCACTTGACCTGTCCCAGGCCTTTAGACAGGGCAATGGCCGTCACTTTCTCCTTCTTGAGCACCTCCTTGGTTAGCTCACCCCCATCCCCTCCCCCAGGATGTTGCCTTCCCCTGCGGCTCCCTGCAGGGCACTGCCCGGGGGCCAACCTCGGCCTCCTCCTGCCCTTCCTCCTCAGGCTCATTCGCTGCCACCCATCAAGACACCGGCTGTCTCGGGATCTCCACCCAAACCTTGCACTAGTTCCAGACCGCTATGGCCACCTGCCTGCTGCACACACACCAGCGTTCCCAGCACTGTTCTGTGCGCTGGAGGACTGTGGCGAATGGGACAGACAGGCTCTCCACCCTCACGGGGACGGACCGTGAGCGGGCAAACAGGGCAATTTCAGACACCAAAGAAAATCAAACAGGGTGACACAACATGGAAGAGACTAGGGTTTGCGGGTGTGCTTTATTTTATTTTTTATTTGTTTTGAGACAGAGTCTCACTCTGTTGCTCAGGCTAGAGTGAGTGCCGTGGCGTCAGCCTAGCTCACAGCAACCTCAGACTCCTGGGCTCGAGCGATCCTCCTGCCTCAGCCTCCCGAGCAGCTGGGACTACAGGCATGTGCCACCATGCCCGGCTCATTTTTTTCTATATATATATTAGTTGTCCAATTAATTTCTTTCTATTTATAGTAGAGACGGGGTCTCGCTCTTGCTCAGGCTGGTTTCGAACTCCAGACCTCGAGCAATCCGCCCACCTCGGCCTCCCAGAGTGCTGGGATGACAGGCGTGAGCCACCGCACCCAGCTGGGTGTGCTTTAGAAAGGGCAGCAGGGAGGGAGGAGGCATTTTAGCTGAGGTTTGAACGATGGAAGGGAGCAGGAGGGAGCAGAGCATTCCAGGCAGAGGGGCCAGCGGAGGCAGGCCTTGAGGTAGCAGGACCACATCTGGTGGTGCGAGAGTAAACTGAAGGGCGGCAGGGCCAGACCCCACAGGCCGGAAGCCGTGGGGAGGAGTCTGCACAGTATTCTAGAAGCTGTGAGAAACCACCAGCAGGTTCTGAGTGGAGCTGCACCAGGGTTTGCTTGACATTAAAACAAAACCATCTGTGGGCCTGTTTCACAGGCACCTTCCTTAGGCCACCTTGACCCAAACCTGGAACCTTCCCCCACCTCCCCAACGCAGGCCAGCCCAGTCAACTCGGCCTCAGGACTCTTTCTTACTGTCCCCACCCCCACCATCCCAGCTTTGCCAAAGCCCTCCTCCGCCCCCCAAGCTCTAGGCCCTGCCCCTCACCCACCCTCCCCATGGCAGCCAGACAGTGCCCAGTACAAGAGCCAGATCAGCCCCATTACTCTAAAGCCCTCACTGCTCCACGCTGCCTGACTGTAAAACCCAAATGCTCGGCCCCAGGGCCCTGGCCTTCTAGCTCTAGCTTCCTACCCCTACTCCCCCACTTGGAGCCCTGGAACAAACCTGGGCTCCAAGCCTGCTCCCCCATGGCACTCAAGGTTACCTCAGCTCACTGCTCTGCCTCATCTCTACCCGATGCCCATTGGGCTGTCACCTTGGCTCTGTACTTTCTAGCTGGGTAACCCTAGGTAAATGACTCGACCTCTCTGTGCCTATTCCTTCAGTTTCCCCATCTGTAAAACTGTAGACAATAATAAGGCAGTGTGAGAATACAACAAATCAGAACTCACTTAATCTGCTTAGCAGCCCTGAGCGGCAGACTTCATCATCCCTGTGCCCCGCAAGCAAGAAAGCTGAGGCCCAGGGAGAGGTGACTCGCCCAAGGTCTCACAGCTAGGTCTGCTGCACCCAGGCCTCCTGGCTTCCTCCCCAGTACTCCCAGCAACTCCCAGAGCTGAGCACTGCTCGTGGGAGGACACCCACCACACAGTAAGCCCGGTGGTGGCACGTGGGGACAGGGCGGCGCCATGAGTCCTGCTGGACACAGGTGGAAGGGCCCCTGGCATTTAGACCCGAGGCCTTGGGAGCAGAGACTGCAGAGGCCGCAGCTTTGGCAAGATGGGAAAGATGACTTGGCAGGGCCCAGATGCCACCCTGGGAGGGGCACCAGCAGCTCCCTTCTCTGGGCAGCGACGGCCCTGCCCTGGAGCCTCGGTTCTGACAGCTGTGGAATGTTGAATTCTGTTCCCCAGGGCCAGCTCTGAGGCTCTCAACTGGGGGCATCCCCCTCCCTGCCAGCCAGCCTCCCAGTACCGGAATGGGGCAAGGGGAGGGCTGGGACCCACCTGGCTTTGCCGAAACCAAGTGCTAGAGGAGCAAGCAGGCCGAGGAGTGGGCCTGGCCCTTCCCTTCCAGCCAGAATCTCCTCCATACCAAATAAACCTGCCGTGGGGCTTGGCGCACATCCTACCTCCCAGGGTAGCAAGGGGGCCAGGCGAGAGAAGGGGCGACCCGCACCTAGCATGCCCCTGGGGTCCTCAAGGAAACACCTCCCCTTTCTCCACCGGGCCTCGGAATTACACGGGGACACCCGCGCAGTAAGTGGGGGACCCGCCCCCCAGCAATCCGGGCCTCTCCACAGCTCCCTTGGGAAGCCCAGAGAGCCGCAGCAGGGGTGGGAGAAGGAGCGGGGGGCAGTCCAAGCCCCGAGCTCTCGAGGCAGGGAGCGGCCCCCCAGTAGGGGACTGGCCCTCCCTCTCCCGCCACCCCAAGCACAGGGCCCAGCGCAGACCCCAGTGCTCACCCAGAAGACAATGTTGAAGCCAAACAGGAAGTATTTCCCGCAACAGCCGACCTCGGGTTCCTGGAAGTGCTGGTGCTTGCCGGGCATGGTGAGCGGCCGCCCACGGCCAGGGAAGCGGAGGAGCCGCGGGCCCGGGCCCAGCCCCCCGCGGGCCGCCCTGGGCTAGAGCCGCCCGGGACCTAGCCGGGCGGCCGGGGCTTCATGGCCGCGGCCACACAGAGCGCCGGTCGGGGCCCGCCCGCCTCGCAGGGACCGCCCTCGGCGTCGGGACCGCCTAGCCCGGAGCCCTGCTACGTCCCCGCGGAGCCCCGCCCCCGGACCTGGCCCCGCCCCCGCAGCCGGATTTATGCCCGCGGAGCCCCGCCTCCTGACCTGGCCCCGCCCCCGCAGCCGGATTTATGCCTGCAGAGCCCCGCCCCCGGACCTGGCTCCGCCCCCGCAGCCGGATTTATGCCCGCGGAGCCCCGCCCCCGGACCTGGCTCCGCCCCCGCAGCCGGATTTATGCCCTCCGAGCCGAATTTACGCCCGCAGAGCCCCGCCCCTGGACCTGGCTCCGCCCCCGCCCCGCCCCCGCCGCAGCCGGATTTATGCCCGCAGAGCCCCGCCCCCGGACCTGGCTCCGCCCCCGCAGCCGGATTTATGCCCGCAGAGCCCCGCCCCCAGACCTGGCTCCGACTCCGCCCCGACCCCACCGCCGGATTTATGCCTGCGGAGCCCCGCCCCCAGACCTAGCTCCGCCTCCGCCCCGCCCCGCCGCCGGTTTTATGCCCACAGAGCCCCGCCCCTGGACCTGGCTCCGCCCCCGCAGCCCGATTTATGCCCTCGGAGCTGGATTGATGTCCGCAGTGCCCCGCCCCCGGACCTGGCTCCGCCTTCACCTGACTCCGCCCCCCATGGCCGGATTTATGCCCACAGTGCCCCGCCCCCTGGACCTGGCTCCGCCTCCGCCACAGCCCCCGCGCCCGCAGCCGGATTTATGCCCGTAGTGCCCCACCCCCCACACACCTGGCTCCACCTTCGCCTGGCTCCGCCCCCACAGCCGAATTTATGCCTGCAGTGCCCCGCCCCCGGACCCAGCTCCGCCTTCACCTGACTCCGCCCCCGCAGCCGGATTTACGCCCGCAGAGCCCCGTCCTCGGACCTGGCTCCGCCCCCACAGCCAGATTTATGCCTGCAGAGCCCCGCCCACGGACCTGGCTCCGCCCCCCGCAGCCGGATTTATGCCTGCAGAGCCCCGCCCACGGACCTGGCTCGGCCCCCCGCAGCCGGATTTATACGCACAAAGCCCCGCCCCCCGGACCTGGCTCCGCCCCCGCAGCCGGATTTACGTCCGCAGAGCCCTGCCCCCAGACCCGGCTCCGTTTACAGCCGCAGAGCCCCGGCCTCGGACCTGGCTCCGCCCCCGGACCTGGCTCCGCCCCCGGACCTGGCTCCGCCCCCGGACCTGGCTCCGCCCCCGGACCTGGCTCCGCCCCGCAGCCGCATTTACGCCCGCAGAGCCCGGCCCCCGGACCTGGCTCCGCCCCCGGACCTGGCTCCGCCCCGCAGCCGCATTTACGCCCGCAGAGCCCCGCCCCCGGGCCGCTGCGCCGCTTCTTTCCTTTCAGGCCCCGCGGCGGGCACCGGAGCTGCTCCGGCCTGGTCTTCCGCGGCTCCGCCCGCTCCCGCCGGGCTCCGCGCCAGCCGGCCCTGGTTCCCTCCGGGCCGCGCCTGGGCCGGGCCTCGGCCGGCAGCTGGCTGGCGCCCTTCACAGCCCGCGGGAGACGCTGCTGCTGGCGCGCGGGACCGCGGCCCGGAGAAGCCCCACGTCCGCCAGCCCCGCAGGGCTCCGCGCCGGCCGCCGTGGGAGCCCGTCCGGGGAGAGGGGCTGCCCGCGAACGGAGGCGGGGCGGGGCTGACCGCGCCTGTGGGGCCTCCTCTTACCGGGAGGCGAGCCCGAGGCGCTTTGCACGCTCCTCCCGTACCGCCCGGGATCCGGGTCTGCGAGCGCCGCGCCCGCCGCGCCCTGCCCTGCAGCCCCGCTAGGGCACCTGCCCCAGCCCCTGCCCCAGCCCGCGCGGTGGTTGCAGTCCCCCCAGCCGTTCCCTTCTCCCCTCTACCAGCCTGGGCTCCGATCGGGCCCCTTAGTCCCCAGGAAGCTCTAGGAGCCCCTTCAAGGCAGGACGGGGGCAGATGGAGGTTTAGGGGCGCACTCCTTAAAAACAAGTCCAGTTTTGTTCATGTAAAGTTTTCCCGCGGAGAAAGAAACAGAAAGAAAAAGTGGGGCCGAACAAGGATCCGTCTTTATTAGGAAGGAAACAACCGACTACCCCAGGCAGTCTTTTTAAGCTGGGCAGGGCAGGGCAGGGCAGGGCAGGGCAGGGCCGGGCCGGCCACCAGCCTTACAGTTCAGAAGTATTTAGTGGCACCCAATGCTCACGACTGGGTGAGAGCACGAAACAGCAAGCGCTAACAGAGCAGAGAGGAGGTCCCAGGGCTACCCACCCCCTTCCGTTGTCAGCCTGGCCCTGAGCCAAGCAAGGCACAGACACCCCTGGCCCCAGAGGACAAGGCGAGAAGCCACGCAGGGCTCCCCACGCAGCCCTCTGTGCGGATGCGGCTCTCCCTCAAACCCTCCGGCCCAGGCCAGGGCCCAGCCGCACGCGCACGGGAGGGGTGAGCATTTTGGTTGTCACAGGGCAAGCCTGAACAGGATCCAGGGTGGCCGCCAAAGCTACAGGTCTGAGGAGAGGCAACCCTGAAAGCTGTTTAGGCAGAGGAGTCACAGAGAAGCCCTCCCCCCTTGTCTTCGAACTCCACCCCTTGGAGTGTCAGTGGCCTTGAGCCCCCTCCCCTTCAATGGAAGAGCCTGGCCTGCAAGCCACCTAGTCCCCTTCCCAAGCAGGCACAGAGTAAGTGCTGGTCCCCTCCTTCCCCCGTGACCACCCACACCCAGATGAAACAAGCAAGCCCGGGAGCCCCCTCCACCCTGCCCAGTGTGTGGCTCCTGGACAAGCCAGGCCCTCGGGCTGCTGCCACCACGGCACCCCTAAGCCTGGGCCCCCGCTGCTGTTGAAACATACATATTCCTGTTCCCTTGACCCGTAAGAGCCAGGCTGTCTACGCCCAAGTCTTGCTCCCCAACACAGCAGTAAGAAGCTGTCCCACGAAACAGGAGGGGTGCCAAGGCCCCCCCTCACACCACCAGCTTGTTCCTGGCTAGGGAGTTGCTCTTGGCAGCCGTGTCTGCATGGGCCTGGTACCCGATGACGGTCTTTGCGGAGAGGCCCAAGTACTCTTTGTAGACACGCCTGGGTGGGGGCACACGGGGGACAGGAGAGGAGTGGTCAGCAGAGGGTGTCCTTTGCCCAAACTCCTGCCTGCATTCCAGCCCCAGCCACTCTCGTTTTGTATCTTACCCATATAGAAACCCAAAATAGGACTAACACAAAGGAGAGTTCTACTGCTAGGAATAGCTGGAAGTCTAGGTTCCAAACCCCTTTTACACAGATGAGTAATGGAGAAGGCGGAGAGGGCGTGCAGAGGTCTCCCTTCAAGCCAAGCCACCTCCCCCAGAAGAGCTCAGCCCCACCCAGTGCCAGAGAGCCCCTCACCCGATGTGCAGGACGGCCTCCTGGTTTTCCGCCTCCCCGGTCCACACGGCAATCTTGTCCCCGTTGGTGCGGATGCTGACCACGGCCCCACACACCTCGCCCCCGTGTTCCTCGAAGCTCTCCCCTATCAGACACAGCAGCTGGGCCGAGGGGCGGGGGTGGGCTGGTGAGACCTGGAGCACAGACACTGCCCCTGTCCTGGATAGCACTGCCACCACGGGGCCTGCCCCGGTTCCTTCCCCTGCCCCCTCACCGTGTCCCGCCACAGCTGGTCCAGCTTACTGTGGCGCTGCTTCTTGGCCAGGCTGACCAGCCAGCGGCCACCCTGCCTGTTCCTGCCGTCTTCCCACGTGGGCTCGATGCCGTCCTGTGAGGTAGGTGGCCAGTCAACTGCCACCCTTTGTTGGAAGAGAAGTGGAGACCCAGCTACCTTCCCGTTCTAAACAGGCCAGGCCCTCTTCTCACCTTCCTCCCTCTGTACAAGCAGGTCCCACCACCCAGCCACCACACAGGTGCTCGTCTGCACTCCCACAGGGCCTGAGCCTAGTACTGGCCACCTGTCGTAGCCGTGTGTGCGTGTGTGTGTGTGTGTGTGTGTGTGTGTGTGTGTCCTTTACTGCCCCGAGTTCCTTGGGACAAAAGTTCAAGTGGGGGGGTAGCCCGGACCCCAAGTTGGGCGAGGGTACACCTCCTGGGCTTGGCTGCGTGGTCCCCATATGTTGCTGGGCAGAAGCCACCTGGGAAATCTTTAAAACCAAGGTCAGCGCCTCTGAAACTGGGTGTGGACATGGAGGAGCGTCCTGGAGAAGGAGCCAGGCCGGAAACCGGGCTCCATCCTCAGCCTCTTCCCGCTTCCCCTCCCCCACTCGAATGGCCTTGGAGGTGCAGCCAGCTCAGGCCTGGCGTGCTCCGTCCGGGCTCCTGTGCGGCCTTCCTCCGACTCTGACCGCAGTCACATCTGTGCTCAGAGAGGCTGTGGGTGGCACCCCACGCCCTCCGAGGGATTAACGCAGCCGAGTCGCCAGGATCAGCCCCTGTCCGCGTGGGGGGAGGGGAGAGCAGAGCTTGCCTTGAACAGGGCGTAGTCGCAGCCGGGAGAGAGCTTGCTGGCCAGCTTGCTGTGACTGTACAACCTGGAGAGCCCACCCCCCACGCTGAAAGTCAAGGCGTTTTAAGGCCTGGTTCCAGCTGGCTCAGCCGCCCCACTCCTCACCGGGCCCCAGCTTCCCACCACCGAGCCTTGGCCTGCCACCGCCCGAGCCCTCCAGACCCCTTCTCCCTGGATCCCCCACGGTGAAGCCTGAGCCCCCGGGGCCCTCTCATGCTCCCCAGGGGCTGGGCAGCCCTTTCCCTAGCGCTGCCTGGGGCACCCGACAGCCTCCGAGACAGGCTCAGAGAGGGGAAGGAGGCTGACCCCCGTCACAAAGCCGTGCAGTGGCAGGGTCAGAGCCAACCTCCTGCGCCTCCCCTCGCTGGGCTCTCCCCTACGCCCTGGAAGGTGGCAGGGCTGGCCGTGCCCCTCCCCCGTGCCCTCTGGGCAGCACCCACCAGCCCCAGCCCTCGCCCAGCGTGGAGGGGCCCTAGGCAAGGCGGGCAAGGCTGCGTAGGAATCAACCCCCCAGGAGGAGTCAGGCTTCACCCCCGCCCTCCTAGGGCAGACACTTACGCCCAGAAGTCCTCCACAGTGTGGACCTTGGTGACCAGCTGCAGGTTGTCCCGCCAGGCCCGGCTGCGGCTGTTCTTTAAGAACCACAGGACCCACCTAGAGGGCGGGAGGGGCCAGGAAGCAGAGCGCCACCCATGTCCACCCCCGCAGCACCCCTCCCTGGCAGGGGCAACCTGGGAGACGGGACTGGGCACAGACCCCTCCCAGGCGTCTCAGTTATGGCGGAGTGGTGGTGTCAGCCCCGAGGGGCCAACAGGACCCAAGGCTCAGGCCAGCTCTGGCCCCTCGTGGTGAGGACCTAGCGCCCAAGAGAGGAAGGGTCGTCCAAGGCCGCACCGCCAGCGGCACGGGGCGGCCAGAGAGCAGGGGTCTGTGTTGCGCTGTGTTCCGCGCACCTACCTGTTCTGCAGCAGGTGCAGCTCGGGCGTGGCCCCTGCACAGCCGTCTGTCCCGGGCTCGCCCGCAAGAGGCGTCCTGGGAGAGCTCAGAGCCTCGCCTCCTGCAGCCCCCACTGCGGTCTCCTCTTCCTCCTCCTCCTCTTCCTCCTTTTCCTCCTTCTCCTCGCCCCACTTTTGGATTCCACCCTCAGTTTCACTCACCTGACCAAAGAAAGGCGTCAGGGTGGGCTATGAGCCTGGCCCCGGCTGTCCCCAGGTGGACTTACAGGGCTGGCGGTGGCCATGCCGGGCTCAGGCTCCATGGAGGACGTGAGAGCCCCCAGCTGCCAGCTTTTAACCCACCGGCCGGCACCCCCACCCCTGGATAGGGCAGGTGAAGGGAGGAGCTCAGAAGTGGAGAGGCTACCAGGTTCTTGCCATCAGCAAGCATTTGGTGAGCGCCTTCCGCATGCAGGCCCCGGGGGGGGGGCTGGGGACACAGCTGTGGCCAGGCAAACCCAGCCCCGCCCAGTGGGGCCCAGCAGCAGGAGTGGACACCTGGGCTCCGCATCCCACAGGGGGAGCCCCTGAATTAGACGGGCTGCCCCGCAGAGGGCAGAAGGTGGGCATTCACCCGGGCTCTGGAAGAATCTGAGTTTTTAAAAATTTTAGTCATTTGCTACATTTGGACACAGGGAGTTTTACATTAAATTCCATATTTTCGGTTTCTCTTGAGGTCTGGCACCACTGGGCCCTGCTTCCCGCTGCACAGTCGCCTGCAGGCGCATGGGGCTCCACACGGCCCCCGAGTCACCTCTGACCCCATCTGAGTGTCCTCTCCCCGGCATCCATGGCAGTGGGCAGTGCCACAGTGCCACAGCCCTGGTGCAAATCCTAGCCTACCCTGACCTCAGCCAACTTACTGAGCCTCAGTGAGCCTCAGTTTCCCCTTCTGTAAAATAGGAGTATCAATCATGTGCAACTCTTAAGCTTGTAAGTATTCAATGCTGTAAAACACATAAAGCCCATACAACAAGGCCCACCTGGGTGCTCAAGAGAAGCCACCTCGGGGCTCCCCAGGGTGGGGAAGGACAGGGAAGGGGAAGAGAGAGGGGGAGCCCTGGACACCCCTTCCCAGCCTTCCGATCCACCCCTTCTCTGCAGGTGCTAAAGCCCCCCAGAGTTCTTTCAAGTTTTGCATTTGCCCCCCCCGCCACTATTAGGGTCCCAGACCCTGTAAAAGGACCTGCTCCTCCCCATACCTGGGGCTCCCCGGGCCATCCGGAGGCTGACAGTCAAGTCTGCGCCACCTGCACCCTTAGGCGGCTGGGGCGTGCGGGACCCAGGCTGGGTGCTGGGGTGCAGTGATGAGCGGCCCTGCGCCTGGGCAGGTGGGCAGCCGATGCTCGTGAGTCTCACGGAGACCTGTGTCCTCACAAACACACACCTGTGGACTCAGAGATGGGAGAAGACAAAGAAGACAAAGTCCACGACCTCACCTGGGCTTCAGAGCAGCCTCCTCAAGGCCCGGTTTCGGATTCCCTTGCGGGGTTTTTTATTCCCGGGTTGTTGGGCCTTTTCCGGGATTCCCGACTCCTCACCCTGGGCTGGGGCCTGAGGCTATTTGCATTTCTAACAAGTTCCCAGGTGGTGCTGGTCAGGGACCCCATTTTCAGAACCCGTGCGTTAGAAGCAGTTCACTGAAAAGGTGATATCTGAGCTGAGACCGGAGGCATAAGCGAGAAATAGCCAGGTGGGCGGGGGAGGGCATCTCAGTGAGAGGGACCGGATGTGCAAAGGCCCTGAGGCACAGCGCACGCAGGTGCCAGGGGAAGAGGAGACAGACCAGTGTGGCCGAAGCCCAGAGGGGAAAGTGGTCCCAGGGGCAGCGGCGAGCACTGAGCGCTGCAAGTGGGCACAGACTGGCCCAGGAGGTAATCAGATCTGCTTTCCAGCAAGTTCTCCGGACTGCTGTGTAGGAAACAACCCTGCCGGCTGCAAGAGTGTGTGGAAGGACATCAATTAGGACGCTAATGTAGTTGTCTAGGGGACAGATGGGGTGGCAGAGAAGATCCTGGATTGGAGAGGAGGAAACCCCACGGTATTTGGTGGCAGGTGAGCCGTGGGGAAGTGACGCACGGCGCTCTAGTTATCTATCGCAGTGCAACGAACCACCTCAAACCCAGTGGCCTAAACCTGTAATAACCGCGTGTCTTGCTCACAAATCTGCAATTCGGGCAGTGCTCAGTAGGGACAGCCCGTCTCCCCTCCAAAGCAAGATCAGCCGGGGCGGCTGATGGGTTGGGGCTGGGGGCCCTGGTCGCTCACAGGTGGGGCAGCTGATGCCGGCTGTGAGCTGAGCCGCAGCTGGGGGAGCCGCCTCCTCACGGGGTGCCTGGCTTCCTCCCCGCACAGTGGCCGGGCTCCTGCAAGAGGAGATGGGGAGCAGAAGCTGCCGGTTTCCTGTGGCCTGGGCCTGAAGCCTGGCACAGCGCCAGGCCCACTGCATTCTGCGAGAGTCACAGGCCCGGATCCCAAACAGGGCACATGATCCCACTTCTCCATGGGAGGAGCGCCAAAGAATTTTGAACAGAGGGAGCGCTGGCGGGATGACCAGGCTTGCGGAGAGACCCTGCATCTAGATTGGATGGAGAAGAAGGGAGGAAGGACTGCCCCCTAGTCCTGGGCATGGCCTTCGCTGCCTTAGCTGCCCGGTCCAGAGCGTGGCACGGAACGACCCTCCCGGCGGCCACCGCGCCCCTTCCCGCCACCTTCCACATCCTGCAGCCTGGGGCAGCCCTGGAGTCTGGGATTGGGGTGACTAGGAGAGACCCTAAAAGCAAACCCCCTGGCGGCCCTACTGGGGTTCTGGCCCCTACCTGAGGCCCCCAAGTCTGCCTGTGGGACTGAATGAGCAGGGGCTCCTGAATCCCGCCCCTGCCATTCTGTTCCTAAAATATCTTGAATCTGCCCATCCCTCTCCCTCCCTACTCTCCCCACACCCCAGGCAAGCGGCTGTGGCCTTGGCCACTGCATGAGTCTTTGCTAACATGCCCCTTGCCTGCACTCTGCCCCCTACAGGACGTTCCCCACACACCTCAGATGGAACATATATTAATAAAACATGTACCCGATCACTTACCTCCGCTGTTTAACACCCTACAGGACCCCCGCAGTGTGACCCGAAGTCCAGGCTCTGAGCTTGCCACTTCCTGGGCGGTCCAGGCTCACAGCACCCTGCACACGGGCCCTCCGGAGGCCAGCTTCATTCCTGCCTCAGGGCCTTCCACCTGTGACCCCCTCTGCACCTGTTTGCGTGGCTGACTTCTTGTCCTTCAGGACTTGGCTCGAATGTCACCTTCTCAGGGGTCGTCCCTGACCACACTGTCTGAAGGAACAGGACGGACTTTTTCCAGCCGGGCCGCGGGTGGCTCACCGCCTGTTCCCAGGCCACTCTGGGACGGCGAGCGGCGGATTGTCAACGGGGTCAGGAGTTTCGGACCGGGCCTGGGAGCAAGGAGCAAACCCACCACCCCCCGCTCTACTATAAATAGAGAAACTTAATTGGCCAATAATTTATATAGAGAAAAAATTCGCGGGGGCATGGTGGACCATGCTCTGTCGTTCAGCTACTACTCGGGAGCTGGGGAGGGAAGGTCGCCTGAGGCCAGGAGTTTGGGGTTTGCTGTGAGTAAAGGCTGGACGCAACAGGGCACTCCTTCGTAGCCTGGGCAAACAGAGCGAGAATCTGTCTCTAAATAATAACTATATAATAAGCGGCAACTCCCCTCATAGGACTAACTTTCATCACTCCTGGTCTGTTTTCCTTTCTTGGCGCTTACCACTGACTTGGTTGGCGTGATTTCCAGTCGACTATTATTCAACGAATGCTTGGACCCCAACCAGTCGCTGTGTGCCGGGCTATGGTTTAGCTTCTGGGGGGGGCACGGCTGGCCAACAAACTGATGGGTTCTTCCTCTTTGTTCAGTATCAATTCCCAGGATAAGCCCTGGGCCTTTCCCCGTTGTTAACTCTGTCTGGTTTGGTGTTGCTCACCCGTTCGTGGCATTGGTGCAAATTAAGTGAACGTGTCTCCCCTCCTACGTCCAGTATATGGGTATCCCTTGCTAACGTTGCACCTGTCAAGAAGTCATCAACACCGATGCTGGAGTTTCCTTGGAACCTCACCCCCACCCCTCAGCCCCAGGGCTTGCTCTTCCCTGGTCTTCTCCTCTTTTCTCATTGGCTCAGCCCAAAAATTCTGATGGGTCCTGGGGACCGTATCTTTCTAACCCATCAAGCCATGCTTCTTGAAACATGCCCAGGACCCCACCGCTTCCCTTCATCTCCATTGCCACCTCCCCAGCCCAAGTGACGGTCACCTTGCCTGAACTGGTCTTCTCCAGGTTTCACCCTTGCCCAAAAATTGGTCTCCTCCCTACATAGCAGCCGGTAAAATGAAAGTTGGATCACGTCGCTCCTCTGTGCCCAGTGCCAGGGTCCATGAGGCCCCGTCGTCCCTCTGGCCTTCCTCTCCCTCCCCTGCTGCAGCCACAGTGGCTGTCAGTCACCTGGGTGTTCCAACTCCTGCCCCAGGACTGCCCGCCAGGTGTCCCTGGCTTCCTGGCCTGGCTCGGGGGCGGCCTCCTTGTGTCCTACTTAACTGTGCACGCTCAGCCCCACCCCAGCAATTCCCTGTGTCTTCCTCCCCTTCCTTCCCCCAAACATTTGTCACCTCCTGACACACCGTGTTTCTTACTAATCTAGTTCACTTACTGTCTGCCTTCCTCTACCAGAATATGATGTCCCTGAGGCCTCTTTCGTTCCCGGCTGTGTCCCCAATGCCTACAGCAGCTCCTGGCTCCCAGGAGCTTCTCAGAAGCCAGGACGAGGAGGGAGAACTGGCCGGGCTATTTAGCAAGGTGAGTGTCACTGACGACTTTGACAAGAGCAGCACAGTCCGAAGCATCTTACGCGGTGCCCAGCACACTCGTTAACTGTCTGTCCCGTCCTGCTGGAATGTTAAGTCCCAGAAGAGAAAGGGCGTTGCCAGCCTTGTTTCCTGCTGCATCTCCTGCACCTGGCATGGTAGCTGCCACCCGGGAAAAACTGACTGAAAAGAAGGAACGGGCCGGGCGCGGTGGCTCACGCCTGTCATCCCAGCACTCTGGGAGGCTGAGGCAGGCGGATTGCTCAAGGTCAGGAGTTCGAAACCAGCCTGAGCAAGAGCGAGACCCCGTCTCTACTATAAATAGAAAGAAACTAATTGGCCAACTAATATATATAGAAAAAATTAGCCGGGCATGGTGGCGCATGCCTGTAGTCCCAGCTACTCGGGAGGCTGAGGCAGGAGGATCGCTTGAGCCCAGGAGTTTGAGGTTGCTGTGAACCAGGCTGATGCCAGGACACTCACTCTAGCCTGGGCAACAAAGCGAGACTATGTCTCAAAAAAAAAAAAAAAAGAAAAGAAAAAAGAAAAAGTTACAGAAAAGAAGAAGTAGAGACAGAGATGCTAGTGGCTCACTCAGTAACCTTTCTCCCTTTCTCCCAGTTTTATTCTGGGAAGTCATATGCCCAGCTAAATGACCATACTTTTCTAGCCTAACCGAAGCTAGAGGTAGCCAAGGAGAGAGAAACTCAAGTTGTTGGCTTCTGGGAAGACTCCTTAAGAAAGAGACAGACAACGGGCAGGTGCTCTGTTTACCCTATTTCCTTCCCCTTCTCCTGCTGTCTGTCTGCATAGATGTGATGACTGCAGCTGCAGCAGCCATCTTGGGCCATGAGGTCACCTTGAGGATGAAATCCCTGTACTAAGGATGGTGCATCAGAAAGTAGGAGTCTGGGCTGGGCGTGGTGGCTCACGCCTGTAATCCTAGCACTCTGGGAGGCTGAGGTGGGCGGATTGCTCCAGGTCAGGAGTTTGAAACCAGCCTGAGCAAGAGCAAGACCCCGTCTCTACTATAAATGGAAAGATGTGGGGCGCGTGTCAACGCCATTACAAGTTGGCGCCTGTTTCCGGCTTTGCCTAGAGCAGCTTAACAAGTTCAGCGCACGCGCAATTTCGGTTGCCCTGTGGCGCGAGAATGCAACAAAGGTCCTGATATGGGCTAATGTTTGTGGCTCGACAGTTGAGCGGCCTATCGCAGCTTAGGGTTTGCTTCTGGGGTTTATAGCAGCCTGCGCGCTGCCGGGCTGGGTCTCCGCATCATGTAAGTCTAAAGGGAACCCATTAAAGCACTGTCAGAGAACTCCTGTTGCCGCGTCTTCTTGCTGCGAGGCGGCGCGACAGAAAGAATTAATTGGCACATATTATATATATATATCTATATACATAATATATGATATATATGTATATATATATATATATATATTTAGCCGGGTATGGTGGCTCCTGCCTGTCGTCCCAGCTACTCAGGAGGCTGAGGCAGCAGGATCGCTTGAGCCCAGGAGTTTGAGGTTGCTGTGAGCTAGGCTGACGCCACGGCACTCACGCTAGCCTGGACAACAAAGCGAGACTCTGTCTCAAAAAAGAAAAAAAAGAAAGTAGGAGTCTGGGTTCCTGACAGCTGTGCAGTCGCCACGCCAACTGGAGACTGCTTAGCACCGAACTTCTCCAAGTGCAAGAATAAACGCCTGCTTCACCTAACCTGTGCCAGCAGCCCCATGAACCTGACTAGGAATTTAGCCTATTTTCTGTTACCTCGACGCTCTGGACTTTTCCACCTGCCACAACCTGTGGTGGGAATGCTGACCACCACTTGTAAGGTCGTTCTCATCTTTCAAAACTCGGCTTAAATGTCACTTTCTCCTGGAGGCTTCCGTTTGAGGCCCCTTTCCTCTTCGGGCTCACTGCTGTTAAGCTCCCAGCAGCCGCCTTCCTGCCACTGGCCCCCCCTCTGGCCTCCTCCTCACTCTCTGCTGCGCCTTCTCAGCGTATCCCCAGGCTCCTTGGCCTCTGGCCACCCATGAAGGTTGCAGCGTCTCAGGACTCTGTTCTCGGCCCTCTCTTCTTTTCCCTCTCCACGTTCCCCAGGATGATGGAGTCATCCCCATGTCTCCATCCCCGTCTCTCTGCTAATGACTCCAAACCCAGTAGTGTACCCATCTGGCTTGGCCCGACTCATGAGAACAATTGTTAAAGGTTCAGGAATTGTGCAAACCAGTCGTTATGGCCATTATTAAAAATTAAATCTGGCTGGGCATAGTGAGTGGTTCATGCCTGTAATCTCAGCACTTTGGGAGGCCAAAGAGGGAGGATCGCTTGAGGCTAGGAGTTCAAAATCAGACTGGGCAATATACTGAGACCCCGTCTCTTCAAAAAATTTAAAACATTAGCCAGGCATGGTGGCATGTGCCTGTAGTCCCAGCTACTTGGGAGGCTGAGGCAGGAGGATCGTTTCAGCGCAGCAGTTGGAGGTTACAGTGAGCTATGATGGTGCCACTGCTCTCTAGTCTGGGCGACAGAGTGAGACCCTATTTCAAAAAAAAAAAAAAAATTAAATCATAAAAATTTACAATTAAATAAATTATGTTAAAAACAAAGCTGATAAGCCAGGCACAGTGGCTCATGGTTGTAATCCCAGCACTTTGGGAGGCTAAGGTGAGAGGATCGCTTGAGGCCAGGAATACAAGACCAGCATGAGAAACATGGTGAGACCCTGTCTCTCTCCAGAAAAAAATTTAGAAACTAGCCAGGCGCCATGGTGTACACCTGTAGCCCCAGCTACTCGGGAGGCTGAGGTAGGAGGATCGCTTGAGCCCTGGAGTTACAGGTTGCAGTGAGCTAGGATTGCCCCACTGCACTCACTCCAGCCTGGGAGACTGAGTGAAACCCTGTCTCAAAAAAAATAAGGTGGTAATATTCAAAATTATTAAATTTCTAATTATTTTACTATTATCTATGTTCTTAAGATTATTTTCATCTACATGATCTGTATCATGAAAGTACCATATAGTTGAACCAGTTCCTTGTTCAGTGACATCAAACCGATGGGTGGGAACACCAACTCTGTGGCGGTAGTTTATTACCACAGATACTGGCAAACTCTACAAATCCAGGTGTTCCTCCCCACCCCGGCCCCTCCTTCCCCCGGGCCCTCCCCCACCCCGGCCCCTCCCCCACCCCGACTTTGGAGAGCCGCTGGTGGCTGGTGCCGTTTGCCGAGGACTGGCCGGTACACCAGGCTCTGGTCTACGCCTGAAGCCGGCCTGCAGTGCGCCCTTGAGCTCTGGGCTGGGATAACATACTGTCTGCCGGACACCCCCTCCCCAGCACGCTGCCCCACCCCCTCAGTGCCCTTTCATTTTGCAGCATTGTTGCTCACCCCACTGTCCAAGCCAGAGACCTGGGAGTCTCCCTAGACTCGTCCCTGTCTCTCCTGCCCAACGCCTGATAAGTCACCCCCTCAGTGTCATCCAGATCTCTCCCTGCAGCCCTGTTCCAGCCTCCCCGTGGTGGCTTCCCTGCTTCAGGATTCCTCATCCCTCCTGCGGACTCTGCCCTAGCTTCCCACTGATCTTTCCACGCCAGCCTGGTGCTCCCCGGACCTGCCTCCATTTGGCCCCATAAAATGCAAATCTCGTTAGGTTGCTCCTGTGCTGACTTCCCGTTTGCCATACTATGACACATACAGACACCCTTTTCTGCACACGCCACCTCTGGTCTTCTTTCTCTCTCCCTCCTCTCTCCTCCCTCCGGGTCAGCCCTTCGTCCTTCATCTTCCATCACACTCTCCGACACTCAGGGGTTCTTAATCTCAAGCCACAGAAATCACCCCCAGCCGATTTAAGCAGTTGAGGAGTTCGTTAACAAATACTGGGCAGCTCGAAGAGTCTCCAGGATGGCCGGCGGATCCCCGTGGAGACCACACAGCCTGTGGTGGTGCCCCCAGTCCCACCGCCAGGCACACCCATGGGGATTTCCTCCGCCCTATGGCTGAGCATGGACGGTGCGGCTTGTCCCGTGGGCGCTGGACACTTCTAGGGTGAGTGTCACCGTTGCCACCCCCACAACCATACCAGACTCCCCGCTTGCCAGCTGCTGCCTGGCACCAGCTTCGGGATCCGCGTGTGAGGCTGGGGAGTCTGAGGCTGCACCTGTCAGTCCCATGTCCCTGGCTGCAAGGAACACAGGGGGCGCGAGTGTCCGGCAGCGTCACCTCCTAGAGGGGGAGACGGGCTCTGCCTCATCAGGGGGCAGATGTGGAAAAGGGGCAATTCCAATGCCAGAGGGGCCAAACATAACCCTCGTGTTACTTTTTAAAATTATACAAGCAAAATACTATCCAAACAAAATAATCAAACAACAGAAAGAGAAAAGGTGACGAAATGCAATACTCCCCTCCCTGAGCCCTCTCGGTCCCATTTCCCAGGGTCAGCTACTGTCAGCAGTGTTTTGGAAGTCCTCGCAGATGTGTTCTTTGTTACATCTGCCTATAAATGAGTATGTATATATTTGCATACAAGGAGTTTGTGTGTAATGTATGTAGCGGGTGATAAGTATGCACATGCTAATAATGCATAATCTGTATTTTGATGCGTAGGAAATTACAATTTTCTATGCATCACAATTGGCCCATGCCACACATTCCAGTTTGGCGCCTGGCTTCTCCCACTTAACACTGTATCTTGACGTGCGGCCACAGCAGCCGCTCTGGGCTCATCCTCTCTAACCAGCGCCCAGCATTGCGCTGGGGGATATGCCACAATCAACCGGCCAGTCCTCTGCACAGATAGTCGTTTAGATCATTTTTCCTGTTTCGCTACAACAAGCCGTGCTGCAGTGAACATCCTGCACAAACGTCTGTGCACGTGTGTGTGTGTGTGTGTGTGTGTGTGTGTGTGTGTGTGTGTAGAGATCCTCGGGTCAGTTCCTGGAAGGGGAGCTGTTGGCTCAAAGCAGCATGCGTTTACGCTTTTGGTAAACATTGCCAAAGTGCCTTCCAAAAAGCCTGCGTCCATTTGCAGCCCTACCAGCGGCCTGTGAACATTTTTTTCCCCTGGGCCCTGGAAAGTCTGGCTGCAGGCTGCCCCTCGCCTGACTGCCTGTCACTTGCACACCCTGTGTTTCTGGCCACGGTGCTTTGCCCATGCTATACCACCGCCCAAATGCCCCCTTCCCCCCTGGCCTGCATGATGAAATCGTACTGGTCCTGCCAGCCCCCAGCTCAGATGTCACCTCCTTTTCCTGGCCTTCCCTGACTCCTGCAAGCTGCCAGTGCCCCTTTCCTTTGGGATCCTGCAGCTGCTTGGGCATAGTACTTTCATGGCACCAGCTGAGGGACTACTGTGTACCTGGCATGGTATGACCATTTTGACAATCTCCACCATAACCACACAAAAAAACGTGGTCATCTCCTCTTCCTCCTTCCATAGGTACTGCCTTCTGCTGCTCCTAAGCACAGTCCTGCCTCAGGGCCTTTGCACTGGCAGTTCCCTCTCTGTGGATCCGGGTCTTGGCCTTGGTGCCTCTCTGTTCCCTCAGCTCCCTCACCGCCCCTCCAGTCCCTGTGTTGCGGCACCGTCTTATCGTCTTCATGCCGCTCCGCACTGAGCTGTCCATACATTTATTTTCTATCCTCCTCCCATCTCTGCACGTACACCCTTCCCACGGCAAGCCCCCCCCAACAGTGACCTTGTTCTTCCTTTCCCCTGCCTGCAGCCTCGAACCTGCACCGCCTGTCTCAGCGCTCAGTAGACATTCCTTGGATGAGCCCCTCGTGATCCACGGGAAAGGAGACCAGAGCTGAGTGGCCCAAGTCCCGCAGTCCCTAAAAAGCAAAGCCGAGGGCGAGCCCGCGTGAACCCCGGCGCCGGCCGCATTGCTCCCCTACCCCTGGCGCGCCGCCCGGTCCCTCTCGCGCCATCTCCCCGCAGGCCACGCGGGTCTCGCGCCCCTGGGTCCCCAGCGGCGCGCGGGCCGCCCGGGAGGCTCGGCGGCGGCGGCGCGCGGCCCCCTCCCCGCGCCTGTCAGTCAGGCCGAGGGGCGGGCGGCCGCCAGGGGGGGCGCTGAGCTCAGAGCTGCCGCAGCGCCGGCGCGGGGACCGAGCGCGCGAGCCGGCTGGGCGCGAGGAGCGAGCGAGCGAGCGAGCGGCGGCTGGCGACGCAGCCCGGACCCGGCACTGCTGCGCCCCTGCCCTGGGCCCGCGCCCGAGCGCCTGGCCACGGCCCGACCCCGACCCGCCCGAGTGCGCCCCAGCGCCGCCGAGCCGACCCCGCGCCCGCCGCGGCCGCCGCTGCATCCCTGCCCGGGCCCGCATCCAGGTGGGGCGGCGCGCGCCGGGGAAGCGCGGAGGGCTGGGGGCGCAGAGGGGACCGGGTGGCGGGAGGAAGGGACGGGGTAGGGAGCGGGGGCCGGGGGCGCGCGTCAGTGCGCAGCCCGGGGCACGCGTGTCCGCAGCTGTCCGGGTGGCCGTGCGGACGTGCGTCCGCGCCCGTGTGTGCCGGGGTGTCCGTGCGCGTTTGAGCGTCTGCGTGTCCTGTATGTGCGCGTGAGCGTGTCGGCGGTGTATGTCTGTGTGCGTGACCGTGCGACTCTGTCATGTGTGCGCAGGCAGCCCCGGGTCTTCCAGCGGAGCCTGGCGCTCCGGTTTCGCGGGGCTGCAGGTTGCGGGGCCCCGGATAACCGAGGCGCTGGCCCCTCCCGCGTCCCCGGGTTTCAAGGACGCTAGGACTCGCTGGGGCCCAAAGGCCTCTCCCTGGGGAGTGGGGGCCGAGGCGGGCTGCGAAGGGCGCCGCGGTCTCGGGGAGGGCGGGGAGGGGCACCGCGTCCCCCGGGAAGGGCTGGGCTGGAGGGTGCGGGGCCAACGACCTGTGCCGTGTGTTCGCCCTCCCCAGGCCGTCAGGATGGACGTGTTCATGAAGGGCCTGTCCATGGCCAAGGAGGGCGTTGTGGCTGCCGCGGAGAAAACCAAGCAGGGGGTCACAGAGGCGGCAGAGAAGACCAAGGAGGGCGTCCTCTACGTCGGTGCGCCGGGCGCGGGGCTTCTGGGGCGTGGGGGCTCGGGTGTCCTCTGAGGGTGAGGGGCCGGGCCCTCCCGGGAGTGGGGGACCTGGGCAGGAGAATATGAGTCAGCAGATGGGGCCGGGTCAGCAGGGGTCACTGGGGACATAGCCAGCAGATGGAACCCTGGGTTGGTGTCAGAAAGGGGGGCAGGGTAGGAGTCGGGGATGTTGGGGTTCAGCTGAGAGGCCAGGGACCAATGCAGCCATCAAAGCAGAGAGCTTCCTTTTTCTTATCGTTATTAATAGTTACCTGGCATGGAACCCTTATTCCAGGCCAAGCACTATGTAAAAAGCCTATGTAACATCCATTACCTCATTTAATGCTCCCAGCCCATTCTACAGACCAGGGAAACTGGGGTTCCCAGAGGTCTAAATACCTTGCCCAAGGTCACACAGGGCAGAACCTGAAGCTGGAGTTTGAACTCAGCTTTACAGACTCCGAAGCCCTCTCCCTCCCCTTGTGGGCCCTCCCTCCAGGCCTCCTCCCCGGCTACCTGCAAGGCTCAGGTGCTCTCCAGGCCTCACTGCCTCCCGTGCCTGTGGTCCCTACTTTACCATCTCTCCTCCAGCTCCACCCTCCTTGCAGTTGCCAGCCGGTACCAGGAGAAGGGCCAGGTGGTTAAAATCTCTCACCCTAAGTGTGAAAGGAGACTGAGCCTGTGGGGTCATTTGCATTAAATGGAAAAAAGGCTGGAAACTGGCATTTGCTGGTTCCATATAGTGATTCGGGGCTTGCTTATGAGAAGCAGATATAATTATCCCCAATGCAGGCTCAAGAGGGCTGAATCACTTGCCCAGGGCTGTGGCAGGTTTGGATTGTGGTCATTTGAAAAATATTTGGTGGCTATGCATCACCTTTGCATAACGTTGGTGGGTGGGGACCACATGCAGGTAGGGTGAAAAGAGGGAGCTTCTGAGGAGATGGCAAAGAGCCAGGTGGGGAGCTGGGGGATGCAGAAAAGGCAAGTGCAAAGGCCCTGAGGTAGGCTGGAGAATGGAGGGAAGGAAGCAGCCTGGGGGGGGGAGATATCAGAGAGGTGGGTGGGAGCCAGGTCACCAGGGACCCTTGCCGGCCCAGGCAAAGCACTGTTGTAACTGCCATGAGAGATGGTAAGCAAGGGACTGCCACGATCTGACTTCAGTTTAGAGAGGTCTCTCAGGCCTCTGGGCACAGAGCAACTTGCAGGGAGGCCCCCTGGGAGGAAGTGTAGCCCCCAGGTAAGGGCGGCTGGGGCAAGGGCAGTAGGACAGAGACCGGGAGAAGGATTGAGCCCACATCTGCCTGAGCCCAGCTCTGGCCTCCCCTCTTCCTCCTCCCCAATGCCTTTCACTCCTGTCGGCCACTGGCACCCTGACACCGTCTCCACTGTAGACTCGGCCCCTCTGAGCCCTGCTTCCCTCCCCTGGGATTGGTACCACCTCCCCCTCCCCCTGCCCGGCAGCCCCCATGGGCTCTAGTTCCTACACTGACCGCACACCCGGCACTGAGTGCCCTCACGGGCCTGCCTCCGTCTGTGGGTCTCACCATGCCCACGGCCATGGCACATGGATGGCCTGGGAAGCACAGCTCTCCGTGCCTTGCCTGCGGGGGGCCCTGAGCCTCCGCGGCCCTCTCCAGTCTCCTCTCTGGTAGCCACCTGCTCCCCCTTGCTGGAGGCCCGGGAGTCCCCTCCTCACCCACACAGGCCCCGGAGGCTGCAAGTCCTCTCCCCACGACTTGAGACCCAGGGAGTGGGCACTCGCAAACAAAGGTTTGTGGGAGCAACGAACGGGGGCATGCATGCAGCCGTGCCCTCCTGGCGCCGGGCTCTGGCCGGCGTCACCCTGAGGACCCTGTCTTCCCACTCCCGCGCCGGCCTCAGCCTGCCCAAACACCCGTTCGGGCTCCTTCAGCAGTTGTCTGGGGTGCCATGTTGTCAGGCGGGAGGCCCCCACTCCTCAGAGGGCCCTCCAGCCCAGATCAGGACCCCCCCGCCTTTCCCAGCAGCCCCCCATTTTGATGTGACCCCGTTGGTACCCTCCTGGGAAGGACCCCACCATCAGTCATAATTCCACCCTGCACCTAAGACCCCTCACACTTTGGCCAGAAGGAGGCTCTGCCCCTCTGTTGGATGGAGTCTGCAGAGCAGATGGAGTGGCACGCAGGGAGACCTGGGCTGCAGGGGCAACCTTTGAAAGTGCAGGGCTTTGTCGCCCTGCAGCTCCGCCCCCACTCCCACCCCTCCTGCGTCCTCCTGTCCTGGGCTGTGTACTCCCAGAGTGGCTGGTAGCAGAAGTTTTGGGCTCAGAAAGACCTGAGCTTGAATGCCAGTCCAGCCTTCCTCGAGGTGGGCCCCTTCCTGAGCTTCTGTTTTCCGTCCGTTGAACCAAGAATTGAAGCAGCCCACCCTCCCTGGCCGGGGAAAGATGAGCTGAAGGGCCAGTGCAGCGCTCTGCCTGGTGCTGGGGTGCAGCCAGCACCCACATTTGGGGAGCAGGCATCCCAAGGGACAGGGGAGCGCCGGGATGAGAAGAGGGAGCTAGCGTGAGGGCAGGGTTGTGGGATGGTGGCATCCAAGGGGGCAGTGATCGGGCCAGGATGCCCACTGCCACCAGGGCATCCAAGGGGGCAGTGATCAGGCCAGATGCCCTGCCACCCAGGGCATCCAAGGGGGCAGTGATCGGGCCAGGATGCCCACTGCCACCAGGGAATCCGAGGGGGCAGTGATCGGGCCAGGATGCCCACTGCCACCAGGGCATCCGAGGGGGCAGTGATCGGGCCAGGATGCCCACTGCCACCAGGGCATCCAAGGGGGCAGTGATCGGGCCAGGATGCCCACTGCCACCAGGGTCCCTCGGCCCACTCTCGCCACTGTGCTATGCTGGAGTCCCCGTTCCTCTGGTCAGAGCCCTTAAACGCGCTCTTTCTCTCCCGCAGGAAGCAAGACCCGAGAAGGGGTGGTGCAAGGTGTGGCTTCAGGTACCAGCCCAGACCTGGCGCAACCCCCTCCCTCACCCAGCCTGTGGTCTGGCCGGGAGCCTGAGGGGAGGGGCGGGGTGGGGGTCTCCCAAGGCTTTATGGGGGATGCACCATGGGGAGGACAGCCCCGGGATACTGCACCCTGGGCCCCAAACCCCCTCCCCACCCCCTCCTTGCCGCAGTGGCTGAGAAAACCAAGGAGCAAGCCTCACATCTGGGAGGAGCCGTGTTCTCCGGGGCCGGGAACATTGCAGCGGCTACGGGCCTGGTGAAGAAGGAGGAGTTCCCCAGCGATCTAAAGGTGAGTGGTCGCCCCACCACACGGGCCATACACGCTGGGCACACAGAGACCTGCAGCCACCCTCCCCTGTGCCCCCAGCCCCACCGCCACCAGCCTGTGCTACAAGCCACCTTGCCTCACGTCCTGCCGAGCTGTGCCAGGCACAGCTCAGAATGAGCTGGAAGGAAGGCGTGCATGGGAGTGATACTCCCTGTGACAGGGACCCACACCTGGCCGTCTTTGTGTATCCTGCTTGCCCACGTGACCCAGACGACTGCTGGGCGTGTGTGCATGTGTCGCTGGTTGTTCGTTCATTTCTCTTCATTCAGCAAATGTCCATGCTGGAGAGGGATTGCTCTAGAGGTTGCCACAGCTGACATGGTAGTGGGAGCAGACAGGCAGTAAAAGCAAGCCCGTGAGCAGGACGGTTTCAGACAGGAATGAGCGCTGGGGGATGAGGCAGCGGGGGTGATGGGCTAGAGCCAAGGGGGGAGGGAGCTACTTCCGCTGCGGAGGCTTCTCCAACGAGGTGCCATTTGGGCTGACATTCAAGGGAGGGGAGAGACGCAGGCGAGAGATATGATGTTCGGGAAGCGTGTTTCAGGCAGTAGGAAAGGCAAGTGCAAAGGCCCCGAGGCAGGTGCGAGCAGGTGTGAGCCATGAGGGGTGGGGGCGGTCTGTATACTGAATGTTTGTGAGGCCCCCATGAGGACCCCCTTAGGGTCAGAGCTGTGAGCTCTGGAGCCCCCAGAGCTGGGTTTCAGTCCCAACTCTGCCACTTGCTGGCTGTGTGCCCCCTGGGCAGTCCTGTCATGCCTTTGGGTCTGGTTATTTGCTTGTAAAGTGCAAGATGGACACGATGGGATTCTCATGCAGATCGGAGATAATACAGATTAGAGGTTCTCAAAACTTGAGTGTTGATCAGAATCACCACAAGGCAGGTTACAATACAGACTGTGGGCCCCATCCCTAGCATTTCTGATTCGGGAGGTCTGAGGTGGGGCCCGAGAATGTGCCTTTCTAACAAGTCGCAGGTGACGCTAACGCTGCAGTTCCAGGGAGCATGCTCACATAAAGAGATTGCAGGCAGCGAATGCCCAGGGGAGATCGTGGCCACGTGATCGTGCGTGCAGTCCGAATCTGCCCCTAGGGACTCGTGTGGCCACGGTGGCGTGTGCAAGTGTGCCGCCATGACCGTGTGCCTGTGGACCTATGCATGTGTGCACAGACACTCTCCTCCACCTCCCTGGGAGCAGGGACCGTCACCGTTTGGTCTGGGTGATCAGCACGAGTGTGTCCACCAGGCCGTGGGAGACCCCACACCACCCTCTCCCCCAGACATGTTGTATACGTGGCTCTTTCTACTGTCAGAAGTCTGGGTCTTGACTCAGAAGTTCTGGTTCAAGCCCTGCCTCTGCATTTTACCATCTGTGTGACTTCCCATTTCTTTTGTTTTGTTTTTTGAGACAGAGTCTCGCTTTGTTGCCCAGGCTAGAGTGGGTGCCGTGGTGTCAGCCTAGCTCACAGCAACCTCAAACTCCTGGGCTCAAGCGATCCTCCTGCCTCAGCCTCCCGAGTAGCTGGGACTACAGGCATGCGCCACCATGCCTGGCTAATTTTTTGGATATATATTTTTAGTTGGTCAATTAATTACTTTCTGTATTTAGGAGAGACAGGGTCTTGCTCAGGCTAGTTTCGAACTCCTGACCTCGAGCAATCTGCCCACCTCAGGCTCCCAGAGTGCTAGGATTACAGGTGTGAGCCACCGCGCCCGGCTCCCATTTCTTATAATCATGTTCCCAGTAATCGTCCCCATGCCTTGCTCTCTTGCATGGGTAGGCGCTGTCCTAGACATTTTACGTGGAGCAACTCACTGACTGTTCACAACGTCCCTATGAGCAATGGGACAGCCCATTTTACAGATGAAACTGAGGCTCAGAGAGGTGAAGTGACTTACCCAAGATCCCAGTTGCTCAAGTCCACGTCCCTGGAGTCCCCTCGTGCCGACACAGGGCCAGGCCCTGTGCAGACAGAGGCAGTCTGGCCTGACGTCTTGGCCTCGAGGCCGTGTGCGCTGGGCCTTTGCACGGAACCGTTTCTCTCGGGCCGCCTGCCGCCTCCAGTGCCTGTTGACACCTCAAGGCTGCCCTCCCCAGGGAGCCCGAGATCATAGAGTTATAATCCAAACAGCAGCCCTTCGGGCCCCAGGATGCAGGCAGCCCATGCAAGCAAGCCCAGGGTCCGCATTTCTGAGAGTCTCTGCCCTCCAGCTTGCTTCCCCCCACCGTCATGGGTCCCTCCCCGTCCTCCCAGCTATTGAGTAGCAAGGCTGGGCTTTTTAAGTGAATGTTTTACTGAAGTACAACACACAAGCAGAAAAGCTGCAGCCCCATGCCACTTTCCCAAAGGGAACTGCCCCACAGAACCAGCGGCCAGCTCAAAATAGAACCTCCTACCCCCTGGGCCAGGACCAGGGTGAGACAGGGGGGTGTCAGGGACTCACTGTGGGGTCTCACTTTCATGGCCCCCAGAGCAAGTGCCTCCCTAACATTTGCCCCTAAGCGCCTTGCTCTTAGAGAGCAAAGGAGCTCAAGGGAGCGCGTCCCGACTCCTGTCACCACTGGCCAGTTGGGTGTTTTCGCTGCACGCCATGTTGTTATAAAGCACGTGCTCTTCTGTATCCGCCTCTTTTCATTCTCGGGAAGTTGTGCTCTTGTGCGGTGTTGTCGTTCTTCGTTCCTGTGTCGCCTTCTATTGTGTGGTTACCCCGCAATGTCCACATCCATTCGGCCGCTGCTGGACAGCTGGGTTGCTTCTGAACAATGTGCTCAAGCTGAGGATTTTGCTGGGCTTTTTAACACTATGTCTCCTCCCTGGGTTCTGGTCATAGCTGGGTGACTTAGGGACAAATTAACATTTCCCTACCTCCTGGGCCTTGGCATATCCATCTGTGCAATGGGGGAAATAAGCCAGACCAGGAGCTTCAAACTCATGTGCCCAACGGGGCCCACCTAGACAGGTAACGTGAAGGAGCTGGAGCTGCCCGGGTGGGGGTGGGGCACCCGGAGGGCAGATGTGGTCGGCACAGGCCTTCCCAGCGCCAGCCCTCCAGGATCCCAGGTGTGTGCCGCCCCCCATGAGGCTCTGTGCATGCAGAGCTCTGTACACAGCCGGGCATGTACCCCAGGCTACCTTGTGTGCAGCCAGCTCGGTCCCGTGACTGTGCACATACATGTGCTCGCCTGCAGGTGGCCGGCCATGTGTCTGGCAGCACCCCCACATGCATGCCCACTGGTCTGGGCAGCAGATGCAGGGGGGCGGGGAGAGTCTTAGCTCACACATCCAAGCAACGCCATGAGCTGTTGCTTCCAGCTTATCTTAAAATAGCAACAGCTGAAGAAACCAGGCCACCGAGGGCCCTGGGGGAGGGATGGGTGGAAGGTGGCAGGGGATGGCTCAGCGCCCCCGCCCAGCCCTGTCCCTGGGCCTCTGTTTCCCTCCAGCCCCCGGGGGAGCCCGCAGAGCTATCTCTGGGGTCCCCATTCCCAGCACGGAGAGTGACACAAGGGAGCGGGGATAAATGGGTGGCTGAGTGTGCCATCTCTCCTGCCCGTCCCATCATGCCAAATGCTGGGAGTGCAGGAGGCTGCTAGGTGCTAAGGGGAGAGGTACGAGGGGCCAGCTCTCCCTCCACACCCTCGACTGATTGTGGGGGGGCTTCACCCTTCGCACCTCCATCCTACTTCCAAGACACTCCAAATAAACAATTTAATTAAAAATTCTCCTTGCACTGCCAACCCTCCCCTAGCCTTCCCCACTCTTCCAGCCAGCCAAAAGCTTCCCAGCGTAGGAATCTGGGGGGCATCCTGGCTGCCCTCACCAGCCTTCCCCTTCTCTGCCCACAGCCAGAGGAAGTGGCCCAGGAAGCTGCTGAGGAGCCGCTGATTGAGCCCCTGATGGAGCCAGAAGGGGAAAGCTATGAGGAACCACCCCAGGTGAGGAGGGGGCAGCCGGGCGGCAGGGTCGGGCTTTGGGTGTCTGTGAGGATTGCTGCCGTCCCTAGCTGGCATGGGGAGGGTCCCTGGCATGACAGGGTTAGGCCAGGAAGCTTCAGGCCCCTATTCCAGAACCCAGGGCCCAGGAGGTGGGAACAGGGAGGGGTGACAGATGGAGCCTAGTGCTGGCGCCCCTGCCCAGGAATAGCTACATTGTCCCCAGCTTCCAGCTTCCCCGCTGCCCAGGGGGAGGAGCATGCACTATTCTTTCTTGAGGGGAGGGGTCTCAGGCTCAGGCTTGGCCGCAGGTCTCCAACCCCTCCTCCCTTTCGCTCTTCTCTACCGCACCCGCCCCTCTGCTGCAGGAGGAGTATCAGGAGTACGAGCCAGAGGCGTAAGGACCCAGGACGGCCCCACCAGCAGCACAATCCTCCCCTGCCCGTCCCCCAGAGCCAGGGCTGCCCTTCTACCCCTTCTCCCCAAACACGAGATCTTCCTTCCGCTCTGAGGCGCCCTCGGAGCCTGTGTTGGTGTCCGTCCGTCTGTCTGTCCCACCCGCCCGCGTGCAACCCTGGGGCGTGGACAGGGCCGGGGCTGCGGCTCGGCCCCTCCTGCCCAGTGTCTGCGTGGATGTCGCATGTTCTACGTGTTTTTCAAAGAAGATCCGAAAGCGCCGGCTCCCCCGTCCCCTCGACGGAGGCTCTCCCGGAGCCCCGCACCCCACTCCCACGTTGACCCCAAGAGCTTTTTTTTTTTTAACCAAAACCAGGAGCCAGGCCGTGCCATGCCCCCTCCCTCAGCCGGCCGGGTCCGAGCGCGGGCGTCCTGTGTTGTCACTTGGCATGGAGAGCCCCCACCGCCCCGTGTGAGCGTGTCCCGGCGGGCGGGCCCGGCCGCCCGCGTGTCCGTGAATAAAGCCAATCTGTCTGTAGCCGGCGCGCGCGGGCTGGGCTGGGCCGTGCGGGGGCCGCGGAGCGGCGGGGCCCATCACTCCCTTCCCCCGCCGCCCCGAACCGCAGAGGGAGCCCCGGAACCGCAGAGGGAGCCCCCGGACCGCAGAGGGAGCCCCCGGACCGCAGAGGGAGCCCCGGAACCGCAGAGGGAGCCCCCGGACCGCAGAGGGAGCCCCGGACCGCAGAGGGAGCCCCGGACCGCAGAGAGAGCCCCCGGACCGCAGAGGGAGCCCCGGGACCGCAGAGGGGGCCCCGGAACCGCAGAAGGGAGCCCCGGACCGCAGAGGGAGCCCCCGGACCGCAGAGGGAGCCCCCGGACCGCAGAGGGAGCCCCGGGACCGCAGAGGGAGCCCCGGGACCGCAGGGGGAGCCCCCGGACCGCAGAGGGAGCCCCGGGCTGCGACAGGGAAGGCGGCCTCGGGCGCCACCTGCTGGGCCGGGAGCGCAGGACGCCCGCGCGCAGACCCGCAGCCCGAACCCGGCCGGCCGCGCACGCGCACGCGGACACGCGCGCAGCGGAGATGGCCTCCGGAGCCCGCCCGAGGGAGCGGAGGCGGGCCGTCGCCCCCGCCTCTGGGGCTGCCCCTGCGCAGGCGGCCGAAAGCTTGGGGCCTTGCTCTGCGGAAGCCGGGGAGGCTGGCCCGGAGCCCGGAGCTCATCGCGACCCGCACTAGGGCCCGCAACGCCGCCTCGGCGCGGAGGCCCCTGCGAGCCCCGCCCCCTGCAGGGGCCCCGCCCCCGGCAGGAGCCCGCCCCGGCAGGAGCCCCGCCCCGGAATGCCCCCGCCCAGAGAGCCGCCCCCGGCAGAGCCCGCCCGGGCATATCCCCCCCTCAGAGGAGCCCGCCCCCGGCAGGAGCCCCGCCCCGGAGAGCCCCGCCTCCAGAGAGCCCGCCCCGGCAGGAGCCCCGCCCCCGGCAGAGGCACCCGCCCGGAGAGCTCCGCCCCCTGAGAGCCGCCCCCGGCGAGCTCAGGCCCGGAGGGCCCCGCCCCGCAGCTCGCCCCCTGCGAGGCCCCGCCCGCAGGAGCCCCGCCCGGAGAGGCTCCGCCCCAGCAGGAGCCCCGCCCCGCAAGCTCCGCCCCCGGAGAGCCCCGCCCCTTCAAGCCCCGCCCCCGGCGAGCCCCGTCCCCGGCGAGCTCAGGCCCTGGCAGGAGCCCCGCCCCCGTAGAGCCCCGCCCCGGCAGGAGCTGGCCGGGCTTGCAGCGGCGGCCCCGCCTGGCCTGGGCGAGACCCCGCCGGCGCCTGCGCGTGGTGCGCGCGGAGCCCTCCATCACCCTCCAGCCCCGAAGCTGCGAGCAGCTCGCTCTGTTCTCCTCGCCCCAGGTTGGCACCGGCTCCTTCCCTGAGCTGCTGGGGGCGAGGGGTGGCGCCCGGCCCGCGACGGCTGCAGGAGAGCTTTCGGCCGGGTCTCCCGGGCCTGCGGTGCGGAGGCCTCTGTCTCCGGGAGTGGGAGGGCCTGGCGGGCGGGCCTGCGGAGGGCACGCGGCGGGCTTGCTGGGAGTCTCCGACTCACTTGCAGGAGGGTGCCAGGAGCTCCACGTCCCTTTGCCTGAAACAGAGCCCAGCTCACGATCTGCAGAGATCGCGAACTCAGGCTGAAATTGGCCTGTAGATACGTTTCATTTGCTAGCACATGTTTTTAGGTTTTCAAAATCTGAATACTTTTGAGTTGGGCAAACCCTTCCCAGCTGGCCAAGACCCTTTCCCTCACTTTGGTATTACACCCATCCACTTCACTCTTTTTTTTTTTTTTTTTTTTTGAAATACAGTCTTGCTTTGTTGCCCAGGCTAGAGTGAGTGCCGTGGCGTCAGCCTAGCTCACAGCAACCTCAAACTCCTGGGCTCAAGCGATCCTCCTGCCTCAGTCTCCCGAGTAGCTGGGACTACAGGCATGCGCCACCATGCCCGGCTGATTTTTTTAGTTGGCCAATTAATTTCTTTCTATTTATAGTAGAGACGGGGTCTCGCTCTTGCTCAGGCTGGTTTCGAACTCCTGACCTTGAGCTATCCACCCGCCTCGGCCGGCCTCACTTCACTCTTTTTCATGACCTGCCTGGCCTCTAAACACTGAGTATTGCAACCTCCTACCCAGCCACCAGCAGCTGAACCCCATTTTTAAATGCCGTGTGGCCTTGGGGAGACTGATTCTTCCTTCCCAGGCGCCAGACCCCCACGCCTGGCCCCACTGAGAATGGTTCTGTCCAGAGACCAGTGTCCTCATCTGCCAGGGTCACTTCAAACGCACTCCAGGCACTGGCCCAGGAATGTCCGCAGAAGATGCCAGCCCTGTGTCTGCCGGCAGGCAGCCCTGCCCGGGTGAGCTGTGTGCCCACACAGCTCGAGAGCCCCTCGCTTGTGACAGGGACCGAGCCGTGTCCCAAGTGCCCAGTATGTCCCAAGCACACAACACTCACCTCCAGTAATTTCACTTGAAACCCCCCCTCGTGGCTTCCTTGTTGTTAGCCTCAACTTACAGATGAGGGAATGAAGGCCGGAGAGGCAGTCGCCTGTCCCTGGTCACGTTACTGGGAAGTGGCAAAGGCCACATTCAGCCCCAAGCCTGACTCCAAAGCCCAACTCCTTTGGACTTTCCAGAAGGGGCTTGCCCCGGCTGCGGGGGGAGACAGAAAGAAGACCCCAACAACTGGAAAATGTGGAAGCAGGGGCAAGGAGCGTACACACGCTATGGTGCGGTGTCGCGGAGACTGGGAGCGAGTCAGTGTGCGGCAGGGGCTGAGCTGTGTGCGCACACTTACACGTGTGGGGTGGGCACTGGTGCATGCTGTGTCTGTTCACGCATGTACACGGATGTCCACGTGTGTTGTGTGTGTTCGTTCAGCCATCCGACAGTGCGCTGCACACCTGTTCTTAGAAGCGAGGGCTTGCAGGGGACAGCCCTGCAGGTCACTGCTCCAGCAGAGCAGAATGATCAGCATACGAGGTGACAAGATGACCTCGAGTTTCATGAAGAATGTGAAACAGTGATGGGATAGACTGTGACAAGGGCGGGGGGGGGCGGTGGCGGGCAACGTTCAAATAGGGCAGCCAGGTCGGGGGTCTCGGGAGGTGGGGCTGGGGCTGAAGGCTGAATTAGCAGAGGGTCGCGCGGGAGGATTTCGGGAGGGCTGCTGCAGGTGGGAGAGGAGCCCACCTCTGTGTCCGCCTGTCCCCGGGTGCTTGTCGAAGCTGAGCCCGCCAGGCCACACTTTCTCTTCCTTTGCCTGCATTTGTTCCTGCGTCTGGACGGCTGCCCTCAACTCAGCCTGTTGAAATCGTCCCTCTTCGAGGCTTTCCCTGGTCTTCCGACCAGCAGGGACTTTCTCCTCATCACCGCCATCCCACCCCTGGTGGCACCCTGGGGGCCCTTGCTAGTGCCTAACTGGGGATTGGCCCTCTCCCCATGAGGAAGGCTGGGTGCTGTCCCCGGGTCTCCCCCATCCGCCCGTCCGCCCCGGTCTCGCCCCCTCCCCAGTAACGCGGCTCTGCGGCTTTCTCTGGCACTTTATTTTTGTTTTCTCCCTTCCCTATTTATAGCTCTCTCCCTCCGAACCATCCCTGCATCCATCCCGTTGCTTAGAGACCGGCTCCGGGCTGAGGGTGGGGGAGAGCCAGGCCGAGCCCAGGCAGGGGAAAGGGGGAGCTGTCACCCACGCCCCCCTCAGCACCACCCCTGGGCTCCCAGAAGCCCATCCCTCCCTCTGCCCCGCTCCCACGGGGCTTCCTCAAAGAGAAAACAATATGTGACAAGCGGCAGGCTTTGCGAAGTCCTTCGCACGGCGAGCGCCCGATTTCACGGGCGACTCTCCAAAGCCTGCCTTGCCCAAGGCCTGGGTCCATTTTTTCAGATGAGGAAACCGAGGCCTCGGGAAGCAAATGTCCCACAACCAAAGCCTTCTCCGCAGAGCAAATGCTCTGGATTTGTTAGCCTTGGGATATTGGCCTGAAACACTGCAAAGACTTGAAAGCATAAACAATTCCACAATCTATTCATTGCAGAAGAGGAAAGAGAAAAATTTTGTGACTGTCCTGCCACATACCAAGCCACTAGTCGCCTCCACCATGCCCTGTGCTGTGCTCCCTCGGTGCACCTGCCGTGGCCACCACACCCCAGCCACGCCCACCACTGTGGCCCCGCCGAGGCCCCCACAGGCCTCCCAGCTGTTCCCACTGTGCCCGCCTGCAGCTGCACTAAGTAATTCCCCAGATTGGACCAGGAGGCCTGAGCTTGCCTCCTGGCTCTGCCACGTCACCAGCTGTGGGCACTGGACAGTTCACACCGCCTCTCGGAGCCTAGGTTTCCTCCGTTCCACAGTATTTCTGCTATTTCTCTTAGCAGAGGGTCTCGCGGGAGGATTGCGGGAGGGCTGCTGCAGGTGGGAGAGGAGCCCACCTCTGTGCCCGCCTGTCCCCGGGTGCTTCTCGAAGCTGAGCCCGGCAGGCCCCTAGGACTAGTGGGAGAATTAAATGCAATACTGCTGAGAAAGCATAGACTCCGTCTACTAGAGTACTGTCAAATGTGAGTGATTAACTAGAATACTGTTGTTGGCCAGGTGTGGTGGCTTACACCTGTAATCCCAGCACTTTGGGAGGCCTAGGCAGGAGGATCACTTGAAGTCAGGAGTTCAAGACCAGCCTGGGCAACATAGTGAGACGTCCCCCCATATGTAAAAAATTTAAAAATTAGCCAGGCCTGGTAGTGCATGCCTATATTCCTAGCTACTCAGGGGGCTGAGGTGAGAGGATCACATCAGCCCTGGAGTTCAAGGCTGCAGTGAGCTATGATCAACCACACCACTGCACTCTAGCCTGGGCGACAGAGAGCCACCCTGTCTCTAAAAATAAAAAGAAAAAAATGTTGTTATGATTAGGGCCAAGAGGTGGGGGATTAGAGAGGGAGCCCCTGGCCAGTGTCCAGGCAGAACAAGGGGCATGGGGGGACCGCCTGAGAGCACCTGCACAGTGCCAGGGAGTGGAGGGGG